CCGTTCTGATTTTAATCGATGCATTTTTAGTTCTACAGGTTTGACTAGACTTTCGGCTATTTTCCCCCAAGTTGGGTCGCCCATATAAGTATCCGGTTTGAGCAAAACTTCTTTCGCTTGTGCCAAGACACTTTCTTTTTTCTCGCGCTTCTTGTATCTATTGATATATCCGAGCGCAATGTTTATTGAATTATTTTGAGGAAAGCCCAATTTAATTAAGTCTTTCCCTGAGATTTTACTTCCCATGAATGATTGATTTTGAATTAATAAAATATAAAGTAAATGTGCAATATGAATTGCAGACAGTAGGATTGCCTGAACCGAAATTCAAACTTCAAAATGATACCAAACGGGAAATTTTTAATTGTGCTTACAATTGTTCAATTCTTCGTAATATGGACTAGAGTTGACAAATTATGATGGTAAATCGAAAGTAGTAAGCATAAAAAAGCCCGTTGAAATGTATTTCTTCGGGCTTCATATATCTATGGGAAAGGATATTCTTAAGAGAAATGTAAGCCACGAAGAATGCTGTCAGCAGGTGCTGAGCTATTCTGATTTGATGCGAAACAAGACATAATCCTCGTGTTAAAATGGTTTATAATAAATAACAATGCAAAAGTATATCGGGATGAGTACAGTAAAAAATTATTCTACTGCAATATGTTTTTATTAAGATAAATTGGGAAGAAATTAACAGAAATTGAGTAGAATAAATCATTAAACTGTCATTTTACATCACTTCGTCTACCCATAATCTTTTTAGAAATTCTTGCCAAGGTAAAATGTATCTACTCTAAATTTGTCGGGAAAATTTAAAGTAGTGCCTTGCTTTTTAATTCTATTTCTTATAATTTTCTATTTAAACACTAAAGTAATGTACATTTTTAATGGCACATTTACTTCTTTTCCATCGTATTTAGCAGGTGATATTTTAACAATTTCATTAATTTTACTTTGAAAAAATGCATCATAATAAATTGTTTGTGATTCCAAATTAAAGTCTAAAGTGAAATTTAAAATTGGAGATTCCGAGATACTTTCTTTATAATCGAGATCTGTGATAAAATGTTTAAATAGTTCCTTTAACTCTTCTTCATTTAGTAATTTTGCTGGCTCAAATTTTGAAGAAGACATTGGGTATTCCCATTCATTTGCAACAAGATCATCAGGCAAAAGTCGGATATAAAAATTTTCTAAAGTTATTTCTTCACACCTTGGATAATTGTGGTATAAGTTAATATTTTCTGCCATATCAGAGGGCTCTTCTTTAATAACAAGCCCATTTTTCCAATGATATGTTTTTCTTGTAGTTTCGACATTATTTAAAAATTCTCTTGATTTGACTAATGTGTGCCCAAAATATTCTTTTTCAGAAATTTTATAAAAATTTTTGTAAGTCCTGCTATATGAGATATTTTCGTCATCAGAATCAACTATACTATAAATTGTTCCAGTACCATCTTTGTAGGAAATAGTTCCAATACTGTCATACCCTACAACGCTTTCAACTTCCTGTCCATAAGGCAAGGAAAAACTTAAGCTACCGTTTTTGTGATAAAATCTTTCTTCTGTTTTATTTGAAGATACTTCTTTAATTTTTACATTTTGATAGTTATAGGCAGTTTTATAAAGTATTCTGTCTTTAACTTGCGAAATAGTTTTATTTCTTAAAAAACCTGAATTGTAATGTTTATAGATAGATTGTTCATGAATAGAGTCGTAAACGAAATAATTATAGGAATCATAACTGAATGAATGATTTTTGATGTTTTCCAAATTACCCACTCTGTTAAACTTAAAGTCTTCAACATCATTGATGTAAGGTATCTTGTAACTGAATTTTAAAGGTCTTTTTTGTAATTTATAGAAATTGCCATCAGGTTGAATAATAAAATCTTGGGAAAAAAACCAATTTTTTAAGTATTCATTTATTTCATCCTTGTTTAAGTAATAATATTTTGACATTATTTCGCCCAATTGGGCTCTCGAATAACCAGAAGGGAAACCATTTCTGAATGTCTCGCTCCCATGGAGAGTGTACCATTTATCTAATTCAAAAATTATTTTTTTAAAATCTTCACAATTACAATCCTTCAAAAACTCTGCTATGTTTTTAAAATTATAAAATTTTTCTGTTTTAAATGCGTGGTTATAAAAATCTTTTAACGTATAAATCTGGGCATATGCCAATTGGTCTGCTGACAGTTTTTCAGGACCATTCAATAATTGAAAATACAAATAATCTCCAGGAAGTTTATTATAATATTGAAATGGATTTAAAGTAACTAAAGCTTGGCTGTTTATTCCAATAGAAGATATAGTCAGTAATATCAATAGAAAGATATTTTTGAAACTAATAATCATCATTTAGTTCTTATTTACAATAGACAAAAATCAATATACTAATATTCATAATACCCTTATATTTCCTTTTCAACTAATCAAGCAAAATCCTACCCTTCCTTCAATATATTCCTACTGATCACCAATTTCTGAATCTCTGATGTGCCTTCTCCGATCGTGCAGAGCTTAGAGTCTCTAAAGAACTTCTCTACGGGGAAGTCTTTGGTATAACCGTATCCGCCGAATATTTGGATGGCATCTGTTGCTATTTGCACGCAGATCTCTGATGCATAATATTTGGCCATAGCAGATATGGTCGTGACTGGTTGGTGGTTGTTTTTAAGGTGAGCAGACTTTCTGATGAGTAATTCAGCTGCTTGGATTTTGGTCGCCATATCTGCTAGTTTGAAAGAAATAGCTTGGAAATTGGCTATTGGTTGACCAAATTGTTCGCGTTCTTTAGCGTATTTTACGGATGCTTCGTAGGCACCTTTTGCTATTCCTAATGATAATGCAGCAATACTGATACGTCCACCGTCTAGGATTTTCATAGATTGGATAAAACCTTCTCCTACATTGCCTAACACTTGTGATTTATGTACTCTGCAATTATCAAAAATCATTTCGGCAGTTTCGGATGCACGCATGCCAAGCTTGTTTTCCTTTTTACCACCTGAAAAACCTGGCGTACCTCTTTCCACTACAAAAGCTGTAATACCGCGACTGTCCAATAAATCACCTGTTCGTGCAAGTACAACAGCTATATCACCTGATTTACCATGTGTGATCCAGTTTTTAGAGC